CCCAGAAAGGAGCCGTGTCCCTGCCCTGGCTGCCCAGCCCAAGAGGACATGGAATCAGCTGGCTCAAGTCCCTAAGACCACCCTCAGGTTCGGTGGTTCGCTTGAAGGGCTCCCAGAATGCGGGACAGCCGCTAAGCACCCAGTGACGAGAGGCGCCCGGGGCAGGGTCCGGGAGGGACCTCTCCCGTACAGTCGTGGGTACGGCACTTACTTCCCCCAGCAGCGAGGTGACTGCACAGACTACTGCCAGCCAGGGAGACTCCCCGTTACCCGGGACTCCAGGGTTTTTTCTGGGGGTCGGTCCCATAGACGCGGCCAACCGCCTCCCGCTCGCCCAGAGGTCAGGCTGAACTTGTGTGGCCCGAGGCACCCCCATAAACCAGTTGTTAGCAGAGACTATCTGGAGTGGCCCAAGACCCCAGGCGAACAGAGACATTCTTATCAAGCAGGGCATTCTGGGGGCTTAGAGATGATCTCCCAGGAGCCGGGGCAAAGGCCAGACCTCTGTTTGGGCAAGGCTAATCGTAACGGGACAGAATCGCATGCCCAGATGCCCAAGCTCTGCTTACCTCGTGAAAAACGTTCTTATGTCACCATCGTGATTCTGTGTAAATGAGTTTCTTCTGCCCGAGGCTCCACGTTCTGTAGATTACAAATTATTAGCCACGGTCATCTGAAGACAAGCAGGGGGCTGGGCCCCTGTTCCTGTGTCCCAGCCATCACGCCGGAGCAGAGGCTCAGGCTGACTCCCTTCCCTGACATGTTGTCTTGTGTGGGCTGGATGTTGTCCCCGACGGAGAAGCAACCTCTTCGGAAAGCCGTCACACACCACCCCCCCCGCCCATCCCACCCCCCCGCTGCTCCCAGGTGGACACCAGGGTCGGAGAAGGACAACGAAAGGCAAGCCCACGTTGCCCTTCTGGCCCGTCCTCCCCTCTGGGCACATCTGGGATGGTGCTTCCTCTGAGGATTGGAGCATTTGGGGGCGGGAAGTAAGGAAGGATGTGTCCGCATGGCTGCTGGGTCTTGGGTCCCTCTGTTCCCCATAAGGGACCAAGGACCTTGGAGAGAAGGCTGACTTGGCACATTTGGGCCAGATCCCTGAATGCACACTGACATTGGCAAAGTGGTTCGTGGAGTGATGGGCACTTACAGACTCCGCTCAGTGCTGAGGCTCCCACTGAAGTCTTCCAGTGAGAGACCCTCCCTCTCTCCCCAGCAGAAACATCCTTGGGCAGAGGCCCTGGGTCCCAGGCAGCGGGCTGGCAAGCGGCTGAGCTCAGGGGGGCGGGGGGGCAGCGGAGACCCGCCGGGCCGCGTCACGCTGGGGCCCGAAGACAGACTTTGCCAGGAGTTCGTTTCTGCCCTGATGGGCCCGATTGCTAAACCAGGAGCTCCTGGGCTGAATTAAAATGTTGATTAAAATTCAGCCGGAGCTGCCTCTGTGTACCTCTGATTATAACAGCAGGCGGATGAAAATGTCAGCCTTCACGTGGGCTCTCCCCCACCTCCCTGCCATGCTCTTCTAGGGAGACGGTGTCATTCAGCGATCAGCTAGTATTTACTGAGTACGGCTACGTGCCAGGCAGAGCCTGGGGGTTCCGGGAGCACAAGGGGCCCCAAGTCCCTGCTCTCGCAGCGCTCACATTCTGGTGGGACAGATGTCACCTGGGGTAGGTGTCTTGCCTGGGGGG